TCCCAAGCCCGGGGGCCCCCTCCAGCTGGAGCGCTGTGTCCACATCATGAGTCACTGCTGTGAATAAGGAGCACCTCAGCTAACCCTGGTGCCGTGTTCCTCATCATCATGGTACGTTTTTGTAGAAGGACACCGTTGCTCTGCTCTGCATGCTTTTTGAGGCTGTTGCACATGTGTGAGTCTGTCTATGGGCTATATCTGGACGTGAGTCTCTGTGGATCCCAAGGAATAAAAGCCAGTGACTGAGGGGATCCCTCTAGTGACGCTAACTGTATCTCTAAGTGTCTGTTTGATTCTGGGCGTGAGGTCGTGATGTGGAGAGTTCGCCCCTTAGGAACTGATCTTGTTGACCTTTGACCTTGTACTGTTCTGGTAGGGCTATGAGCAATGTCACAGGCTCAGATGTATCAGAGAGTATGATAGTTTGATGACCTGTGATTACACAGTCGTGACCTTTTGGGCTGATGGCTATAGAGCCATTGATCCTGAAAGTTATTCTCTTTCAACACTCATTAGTAGCGTCCTATTATAAAAAATCACGGTGGGATTACACTGAAGGGAGATTTATTTCCTTTCCTGACTTCAGCAACATGGTGTGCTTTTTGATGTTTTCACGTGGGACTTGATTTCCACCAATTTGCTGTTCATCGTTTATTTCAGAGTAACAGACAGAAAGCCTGCCTGCTGTGTCTGTACGGTGCAATTCGGGGGGCTGACTCACCCCAGTAACTTAATGCACAGAGTCAGCTTCTTACCCCTAACTGCCCCACTAGCTCCTGCAGACATAAATTGGATGAGAAAGCAAAATGCCAGGTTATATGTGGCTAAGATAGCAGAGGAGTATTAAGCCGAGGTAGCCGTGCGCCTGGGCTGGAGCGACCCTTGTGGTCAGGTGGGAGTGTGACAGTTCCTGGTGCACAATCTACCTAAGAACTCTACAAAGTTAATACAAGGCTTAATCAAAGGACACACTGAATTTCCTTAAGGACTGTTTTCAGCTGGGTCTCCAGTGTCTTCGGTGCCTAGCGAACACACAGAGCTTCTAAATTCTAAGATCCAATGGTTTTGTGAATTTTGAGGAAATGTGTAAGTAAGTATGTAAGTATGCACAAGACATCTAAAATTTAATTTAAGCCAGTGGTGCGGCCTCAAAAACATGAAAACATGGTGTTTTAGAGTTGGAACATATAGACAGAACATGCAGAAAACTATATGTTAAGAATTATAGTTTGCCTTTAATATGAATACAGCCAGAGTAGATTCAGAAGAATTAGTAGAATTTAAAAACAGTAAAGTTAAAAGATTGCAATGTTTATATGAGGAAAATGTAACAGTGCAGGCAATATATAACCAAACACACTTATTACTCATGTTATTGTTATGTACAAAATTCCTAATCTACTCCCAAATTAAACAAACCAGAATAGATATAACAATTTATTTGATATAAAAATGTCAATACAAAAAATACTGTATGACAAATTACAAATAATCCATAAAGTCTGATAAATTACCTCTTAAATTGCAGTTTAAATAAAAATAACACCGAAAAAACAAATGCAGTAGAAAAAAAACATACATTTCAAAAAACATTAAACAACAGAATAGAGTGATATTAAATCAGAGCAGAATCAAAGCAGAACAGTAAGTTGTAGTAAGTTAATATGGATATTATTATCGGAAGGAAAACCGTGCAGCACAGTTAGTTATGTAAATAAATACAATGATGTAATGCAGGAAAAGAGAGACAGAGCCCGATCATGGAAGGACACCGTTATGACTCTGTTTGCTTGTGGCAACCTTTCACTCAGCTCTGGCCATTTGCTGCTTACTCATACATGTCGGTCACAGACACTCACAGTTAACACTCTCACATGGACTTTTCTGCTTGGTCTGATTGCAGGATTGAACGCAGCTCAGCCTTCTTAGTGCATGTCGGTAATATGCGTACTGGAGAGTGCATGTACACACAAAAAATTCCTGACATCCACCTCCTGCGTCCCAGTCATGTCCTTATATGGTCAAAGTGATCAATATGACACATGTTTCATCGCAAGCCTCCTTCACAACATTCCCGCCCTCTCTGCTCCTACTGGAGACACAAAGCAGAGGGCTGGGAGCTCCTTCTCATCTCCTCCGGTGAAATTTTCCCTCTCACTGCAGCTCCCTCCGACTAAGCTCTCAACCTGCTTGGTAAGGATATCGTCCCTGGAAGCCCTTTAAACCCCAAACTAAGCTAGTATTCATGGTTGGATTTTCCTCTCAGTCTAGCTGACAATAAGCCTTGCACCATTGCAGCTTCATAAGGGGAAAAGTTCTGTGGAGGTGTCACACTTATCCCCCAAAGCCGCCCTGAGGGACAGCAGTGTTTGGGTTCAGCTCCACTGCCCGAGCTAATGTGGGTCTGCTGTCTGACTCCCCGCTCCAACGGTTTGTGCCCGGCCACCTGCTGATTCTGCTGGTTTGGATTGACTGCCTGGAGCACAAACCTAACCTACATAGGCAACATGTCCCTCTTCCTAAACTGTGCCCAGACACACACACACACATACAGACATGCACATAAGAACAGCACAATGCCATTTACCTCTCAACCAGAACAAACCAGTCAAGTTAATACAATCCCGAAAACTGCACCTCACACAGAAGAAGGCTCGCTAAGAGGATTTATTTCTTCAAAAAGAGATAGGCTGTTAAATAAAGTGTGTGTATTTGATGATAGCAAATTCCCTATTTGGATTATTTCGCCTCCTTCTCCGTGCTGCTTGATGGTATTTTTTAATACCGATATCCTCTTTCCACCCTGTTTGGTCTTCTAATTCCCTAAAAAGCCCGAACTTGACAGCAGGCTCACTGTGGCACTGAGCTCCTAATTCAGTGTGTGTGTGTTTGTGCTGCAAGAAGCAACAGATCAAATTAAAGATATATTGATTGCCTGAGCGCAGAGAGGAACACTTATTTTAATTAAAGCAATTATTATGTCACCCCTTTTCACATTTTGTCACTGAACTTGCAGAACTAATACTGTTTCCTCAGGGACTGAAGTCTTACTAGAAAAATCTGCACGAATCTTACTACTTTGCATTAATGGTGTCTTTCTTTTTCTCCCTCTTATCTCCCTCTTTCTTCCTCCCTTACTTACTCCAGAGTCTGTGAAAAGGTGAGAGAGGGACACTGTCTGCCCCACTGTCCAGCGACACCATGAGCTGGAGCTTCCTCACGCGGCTGCTGGAGGAGATCCACAACCACTCCACCTTCGTGGGGAAGCTGTGGCTCACCGTGCTCATCGTCTTCCGCATCGTTCTCACTGCCGTTGGGGGAGAGTCCATCTACTACGACGAACAGAGCAAGTTTGTCTGCAACTCGGGCCAGCCGGGCTGCGAGAATGTCTGCTATGACGCCTTTGCCCCTCTTTCTCACGTCCGCTTCTGGGTCTTCCAGATTATCTTGGTGGCAATGCCTTCTCTCATGTACATGGGCTATGCTGTGAACAAGATTGCACGATTAGATGAAGCCAAAGGAGGAGGTGGTTCTGCTGCAGTCAGAACAGGAGGAGGGGGCTACACACACAGGAAGCCCAGGAAAATCTGCTTTGGAGCACGGCAGCACCGGGGCATCGAGGAGACCGAGGAGGACCAGGAGGATGATCCCATGATCTATGAGGTGCCAGAAATCGAGCCCCCAAAAAGGCCGCGGGATCCACTGCAACCCACACCCAGACCGAAAGTCCGGCATGACGGGCGCAAACGTATCCAAGATGAGGGACTGATGCGGGTCTATGTTTTGCAGCTGGTGACTCGTACAGTGCTAGAAGCAGGCTTCCTTGCAGGCCAGTATTTGCTGTATGGGTTCCGTGTGACGCCCGTGTTTGTGTGCTCGGGGAAACCTTGTCCCCACAGTGTTGACTGCTTTGTGTCCCGGCCTACAGAGAAGACCATCTTCCTGCGCATCATGTACGGTGTCACTGTCCTTTGTCTCACGCTTAATGTTTGGGAGATGCTCCACTTGGGGATTGGCTCCATCTGTGACATTCTTCGGCGTCGGCGCTGCCCACCTCAGGAGGACGAGTACCAGTTGGGCTTGCTGGGCACCAACGGGGGTGTGGAGGGTTCAGTAGGGGGGCCAGGGCCTGAGGCAGGTTCTGAGGGAGGGGTAGGTGGAGATGGAGCGGCTGATTATGTGGGTTACCCCTTTTCGTGGAATACCCCATCGGCTCCACCTGGCTACAACATTGTGGTAAAGCCAGAGCAGATGCCCTACACGGACCTTAGCAACGCCAAGATGGCATGCAAGCAGAATCGGGCAAATATTGCTCAAGAGGAGCAGCAGCAATTTGGTAGCAATGAGGATAACTTCCCCACTGGAGGGGAGGCCCGTGTGGCTTTGAACAAAGACATGATCCAGCAAGCTCATGAGCAGCTGGAGGCGGCCATCCAGGCCTACAGTCAGCAGCACCGGGCAGAGGAGCAGCTTGGTGACAACCAGGACGACAAGCCCCAAAGTAACATCATCCAGGCCCAACCGCAGCCACAGCCTCAGCCTCAGCCTCAGAAAGAGCGCAAGCATAGATTCAAGCACGGGAAAGGAGGCAGCAGTGGAGGAGGCAGCAGCAGCAACAGCAGCAGCAAATCAGGAGAGGGCAAGCCCTCTGTATGGATTTAATCCCAAAACAGTGACATGTATTGAAACCATGTATATATTAGAGACTGGATGACGAGCTGCTGCAATCTTCCTTGGATATTTAAACACCACTGTGCCTTAAAGAATCCTGCAAGCTGGAGAAGATGTGTATTTGTGTACTAAGGTGTGTAAAACACGTGATGTTGCAGCTGACGATTTGTGTTGTCTGGGCTATCACTGTCTAGCTTGAAACATCACACAAACACAAACTGTAATAGGCTACAGTCTGTCGTTTACATGTCTCGTTCTTCTCAAGTCCTAAAGCAGATTTTGACCTCTGATGTCTTCCCGTTCATCCTTTCTTAGGGATTTGAACTTTGGAAAATTACTGAATGATAATGAGTTCTGTTGCAAATCAGATTGATCCCAGATTTGGCTTAGCTCATTTTCGGGCTGCTCCTCTGCAAAGACACTGTCTCCAATATAACATTGGCACCCTAATTCTTGGGCCAAATTACAATGACATCAAAATGAAGTATCATCATAACACAAAGGCAAAGGGATGCCGTATCATCACTATGCCTTGGCAAGCTAAAGCTACGACTTCGTACTATAATGATGTTACCACGGCACGTCATTACAACATAAATGCAATAAAATGAAACGTAATTCAGTGGCGGCGCCTAAAACAGTGACTTTATGATGTGATGCAGTGAGAACATCCCCTTCCTGAAGGCTGTGTCCTGTCAGTCATGTTCTGTCTGCTTTCTCTCCAGCGTCACAGTGTCATGTTGCTGTGACTTTGCAATTGACAGTGTGTTTGTATATGTTTCATGTGTTCTCTTTTTTTCATGTGTGCTACACCGGCTGCTGCTCAGAAACCAATGAGTACAGCAGGTGGCTTTTTATCCATCTCAACTTTCCTGAGACAAAATGTTCTTTATAACAAGGTGCATAAACAATCCAGTTTTTATACCTTACTCTTCAGCTTCTCAGTTTCTCTCTCTGTCTCTTCATGGCTATTGAGCAAGGCTGCTCCGCACTCCACTGGTGGTCCATCTGCCTTGTAGTTGACTGCCCCCTGGTGGTATCTTCTACAGGCCTTTCTGTATTGGAGAGTAGATACCAGTTGCCAATGCTACCTGCATCCAGCAACACCTTAACCAGATGTAGTGTTCCTTTTCTATTGACAAGCCTTGTGTTAGTTGAGTCTTCCCTACACGTTCTGTGTTAGATGCACAAGGCTGCAATATCACCACGTTGTAATGGAAAAGGTTTAAAGCCATTATTATAATATAGTGAGACCAAACACTGTTTGTGTGTCAGTGCCAAGATCTTATGCTAGGCTGCTATGAAGCCTGGTTGTTTGTAGCTTTGGAATACTGTGGCCATGCTACTCCAGTTGTGGAAAAATGCCTACATGAGACCAACCCTTTTGTAAAAGCCACTTGTTTTTTTGTATTACAGTATGTACGTATTGCTTTTTGGAATGGGATTTAAAATAGCAAACTCGAAAACTGAGTCAATTTTTATTTTCGAGCCAGTGTTTTATATGAAAACACTCTTTTTTCAATAATGTTTTTTGTAAAATAAAGTAAAAGAAAGCAAGGTCTTTTAAAAATGAAACAGCTGTATGGATATTTATGGTTATTGTGTTTTAAATTGCCTTCCAATTGTAAAAAATGTGAAATATGACATAGTATATTTTTATAAAATGTCGGCTACAGTGACTTAATGACGTAAAGAAAAAAAGCCAGACTTTTCCTTGTATGTTACAGTATCAGTATTTAATGTATGTGGCAACCCTCTGGGCTGTGTTTTAATAAACTGTGTTGCTCCTTTTTCAACATTATTCTGAGATCTGCTGAACAGCTGTATGGACACAAACTGACCAATAGAATCATTTGTGGGGAAAGGACATAACAAGTGCCAAATTATTCAAACCATTATAAACTTTGCCCCGCAGTAGCTTCCCAAACAATCATTTATTGGAGAGGGAGCTAATCTGAAGAGCTTGAAGATTATGTTCTTAATATAATGAATCTCAACCTGAAAGACGTTTCCCAGAAAACAATGAACTAACTGAACAAACCATCAACCACGTGAAGTTGTGAGGCTTGACACTGTGTACAATACAACAGGGTTATGAAGTAGAAAGAGTCTTTCTGATTTGTGTGTTCACCATCGGGCTCCACAAGCCTGTTCAACAAGCCAGCCAGCCAGCAAGCAGACAGTCATAAATCTCCAGAAGTACTCCAGTCAGTCGCTCACCAGAGCAGTGATTGACACTGGCTCCACTCATGCTGCTCTGTTGCCAATAAGCCACAGGTGATTTAGATTTTCCCAGTTAGTGTCAGTCGCTTCCCTTGAAGGCCAATCAGCCCTCATCAAATTCTCCCCCAGTGAGCAAAGTTTCTCAACTAAAGTATTAACTGCTGTATTTTGAAGAGAAGGAAACAAGCTGAATTATAAATGGATAACAGGCAGCTGGTGATGCTTTGCAGTTAGAGCCAGCTGGGGCCACTAGAGGGCGACTTCCTGTCAAAGGAGGGAGCACTTCAGAGAGTGAGGAAGGGGCGTTTTGAGGACGTGCCATGGGGGTACTCAAAGACCCCATCTGCTCAGAGTCTGCATGACTGGAAGCTTGGCCTTACATCTCCAAAACTATTCTAGGTTATGGCTCAGACGTGTCTGTTTTCAGGGAAAAGTAAGGAATTCGGGCAGCTATCCAGGTCAAAAGAATTACCCTGTGGTGCAGTTATGCTCTTGTGTGGCCCTGTTTTTTTTTGTCTACTGAGTGGCTGAGAAAGAAAGGTAGAAACTAAGTGTGCTCACTGGACAGAAATGGCTTTTACAACTACTTTTTTGTAGGGTTTACTCCCCTCTGCATATTGTCGCTGTCTTGTGAAAACCATGGGTTTCAAAATGTCTTTTCTAAAATGTCAAGTAAAAGCAGGGTCCCAATTAGATGCAGGTCCCCTTTCTTAGCCTGGTGTGGCTATACATGTTTTGAGAAATAAACGGTCTCAATTAGACGCCTGGTCTGAATTTTATAGAAGTTCTTAGCTGCTTAGATCGCCTAAACAAATATAAATGTTTAAACTTTTGTTGCTCGATCAGTTGGATTCTCCACAATTCATTCAGTTCCTTTTACTGAAATCATGAGCACCAGAGTATCAAGTAATCAAATGAATGATTTGTAATTGATGTTATTCGATAGCTTAGGTTTTATATAAGTAATATTCACACTGGTTTAAATGAACAATTAAATAGTATTTGCCATATTTGCTGAGCAAGAGTTTTGTGCAAAAGGAATTAAAGATGCCTGTTCCAAATGTAGGCAGGTTGAGTTCAGTGATTGAAGCAAAAAAAATGCCATTAATTCATGTTTTACAGTAATTCTGTGTGATTCTTTAAGGATTTACAGATAAAACATGCTAATAAAAGCAGCACTGAAAGTATGCAGGAATTCAACAACAAGAACAAAAAAATACATGACATAAAATCACCTAAATTTGAGTTTCAATTGACAGTGACAATATGCTTTGAGCACTGATACATCTTAAGGTGGAGACACACTTTGGAACTGAAAACCATTTGATCCTTTACTAGCAACTGAGAAAGTTATTCTTCAAAACTGCAGGTGTGATGCTGTTGTTCACAGCTACAGCAGGTTTGGTGTCATCGTTTATTAGGTTAACTGGGTTGGAACAATGCTCACATGGACAGTTACTCCTTTGTGATTTATCCCTGTACTGTACACTAACACAGACAGAGAATTAAAACCGGTTGTATCAGATGAAGTCTTTTGTGGGTTTATTCATCAGGGATACCACAATGTCCACCCTCAGCATCTGTCTGTCTGTATTTAAAACAATGTCTGTGTTCAGAAGAAAGGCTGTAGTGAGGCCTTGTTGTTTCCCTACATGTTTCTTATAGTCACCCATGTGGGACGTGACAATAAAACCAGTGGTATTACCAATACAAACCCCAATTAATACATGCATTTGTGTGTTTGTGTGTTTTTCTATGCCTTTTTGTAAAATGTACATTTCTTTGAGTGCCATTCTGGTATCCCCCCGGCAAAGATTTGTTTTCATATTCTTTGATGAATTCATTTGATTTGCATGTAAAAAGACCTATTTTCCTACAAAAATAAATCAGAAAATGCATATTGACTAAAGTCTCTGCATCTTTTGTTTGGGCTCCGTAAGAAGAAGAAAAAACTCAAAAAACATGAGGAAAAAAAAAGCTTCCCACTCTTGAAACGTTGAGTATTGTCCTATTCTTGTTGTCAGTATGACATATGTGTCTGATTTTGATTAGTGGAGAATAGGGGGGTCTCTGCAGTCCTATCAGGAGAATTACAGTCACACAGGCTGATGTTGTGTCACTGGCAGGAACAACACAGGAGACCGAAGAGATGTCACTTCAGCTCATGTCAGCTGTGTCATTTTGTTTGTCACTTTGGCAGTTCATTCGGTGA